TAAAAATCATCATCACAATCAACTCTTTTTCTAATCAGAAACTGTCAACTCTTTTCAGCTCCTGAAAATGTTGGAGAAGTGACGGTGGTGAGCCAGACTGAAAACAGTATAACTCTGAGATGGACCAAAGTCAAGGCCATCCCAGATTACACCCTACAATATGTTTACAATGAAACATCCATAGTGGAAGATATTGATGCATCTTCTCAAGGTGCATCAGTAGAGCACGTGGTCTCTCCTCTGACTGATCGGACAAAATACAATTTCACTCTGTTCACTGTGTTTGAGGGAGTCAACAGCACTGGATACGACTTTGATGCTGTGACAGGTGAGTGATCCCTGAACATTTATTTATAGATGGAAGTTTTACTTGTTAAATGCAATTCATCAGACAAATTGCTGTATTTAGATTCTTGGTAGAGTATTGTTACTCACATATTAGTTTTTATTGTGATTAATTGAAGGAAATTGAACTTTTTAGCTGACAAAAAAAACCCCAACAATATGCAAACAGTACATTTTGCTGGGGATTCATCAACTAGACACGAGTGTGCAATGAAAGTGTGATAACCGTTAGTGCATCAGTGAGACATGAAGTTGGAATCTCGGGACTCACAAGTTGGATTTAAATCCATTTCAATGTCTTGACTGAGTTTAGATTTCAGAAGCAGTTCTGTAAACTACTCTACAGGTGCAAGTAAAGTATTTTTATGTCTGACACTGGCCATCAAGAGCCAGAACAGAGCTCTATTATGATGTCTAGTTTATAGCTTCTCAGTAGAAGGAGGCTGCTGCTTACTTAATACTCTTAAACATGGCTGATTAAACTACTGGAACTGAATGAAAGTTTTTATGTGTTGATAAAATACATCATTTTGTTGGGGAACATTCTGTCATTTAAAAAAAGAAAAAAAATCAAATGTAACAGTTTCTTTGTGTTTTCACATTTCAGCTCCTCGTAACACTGAAGAGCTCAAAGCAGTTGGACAAACTGAGACCAGTATAACTCTGCAGTGGAAACAAGTGATTGGCATCGACACGTATATACTTGTAGTGAATGGCAAGGAGGAAAACATTACTTTACCAGCAGAACTTGTGACTTACACAGTGTCAGATCTGACAAGTGGGACTAGATATGAATTTAGTCTCTTCACTGTGTTTGAAAATGTCAGCAGCAGCGGAGTGAGCCTCACTGCAGTCACTGGTAAGATGTCTGTTCTCTGATCTAGACCTTTAACATGATCCAGGACTGACTGGCTCACTGATACATGAAACTTAATCTTTCTCACTTTTAATTAAACAACCACAACGTTTTGTTTTGCATGTTATTTGTAAATTTAATTAATTAGTAGCAGTTCCTTATTCATGTAGTTTTATTTCCTAGCTCCTCATAACACACACAAATTTAAATTAGTTGAACATAATGACACCAGAGCTCTGGAACAATCAGAGTTATATATATATATATATATATATATATATATATATTTTTTTTTTTTTTTTCTTCACACGTGTGTTGCTCTGGTAGTATGACTAAGTGGATCAAAAGTTACGAAAAGTAACATCAAATTAGTCAGTTAGGGACATCCTGTCTTTTGTAAATCCTTTTTGTTTATCTGTAATTGGTGACATGGCTGTGTTTCTTGGATTATAGAGCAGACCGGTGTAAATACTAATGATGAACGATAGTGTGGTAAAAGTCAACATCACAATCAACTCTTTTCTAAAATGAAACTGTCAACTCTTTTCAGCTCCTACAAATGTTGGAGCCGTGATGGTGGAGGACCAGAATGAAAGCAGTATAACTCTGAAGTGGACCAAAGTCAACAACATCCTAGATTACACCCTACAATATAATGACAATGGAAAACCCATAGTAGAAAATATTGATGCATCTTCTCAAGGTGCATCAGTAGAATACGTGGTCTCTCCTCTCAGTTCTGGGACAAAATACAATTTCACTCTCTTCACTGTGTTTGAGGGAGTCAGCAGCACTGAACACACCTTTGATGCTGTGACAGGTGGGTGATCTCTGAATGTTCTTTTGTATGTACTTTATATAAAGAGAGAGAGAGACAGAACAATGAGAACAGCATATATAAATACGTCTCAAACATCTGCTATCTTCTTATGCTGCCTGAGTAAATCAGATGCATTCATTTAGACTTTTACTTTGCAAATGTTTGCAGTAACTAGACTAACATTACATTTCATAACATGTAGTAACTCCACTCCAAATGAAAGTGTCAAACAAATGTAACATTTCAGTTTTGTGAAGAGTAAAAGTGTCTCTCTTTTCATCAGTTCCTCCAATGGTGAGCTCTGTCCGTGTGACTGATCGCTCAGTGACCAACGTAACGCTACTGTGGGACAATGTGAATCCAGACTGGGAATACTTGCTTGAAATGAATGGAAGAAATGAGACACTGACACCAGATCAATCCTCGAATGTTATATCACATTCAGTCACATCTCTTGAGCCTGGAGCAGAGCATGCATTCAGCCTGATCACAGTGTTCTCTGGACTCAACAGTGCTGCATTTAAAGGCAGCACAGTAACGGGTATATAGAGGCCTCTTCTCTGATACACTCTTACAACCTGTTTTGCAATCTCAGAATAAAATTTTGTTGCACACATAAATTTGCAAAGATCCAACAAGCCTTGTTCTGTAAAACTCATGTTGCAATACTTTCGATTGGACTTTGTGCTAACATCTACAAATAAAGGCTCTTGTCTGCAATAATCTTCTTTGTCATTTCAGCCATTGACTGTGCCAGTGTAAAGTGGCATGTTACTGACTCATCAATCCAAGGAACAGTTGAAGGCTTGTTCACGAGTGCTACTGCCACTTACAATTCGCAAACTTATGTCAGTCCTGGAGGTAGAGATGTGTCTTTTACTGGCCTTGTATCGGGTGCAACCTATGGGATATCTCTTGAGTATGAAACATCACCCGAACCACTTAATCAGTGTCGCCACAACATAATAGTTCGTAAGTACAAATCGGTCCCACTATGACTTATGATTTCTCTACGTTTTTGTCATAATACTGTAAAGGACATGATACTTTTCAAACTGTACTTCAAGATTACAGATTTCAAAGCATTTTACCATATTACAAGTGAAAGTGTCTGGTGAATTTATGTCACTTGTTTAGTTTTTTGTGCCCTTGCAACCAAGTAATTGTTCTAAAGTAAACTTCAGAGCACTGTGCAGCTGTATATTATTTATTCATGTACCACAGATTAATAGAATCTAAAATGCTTCGAAACTATTATGTGAATTGCAGCTTTTAAAAATGTATTTATTGTTTTTTCTATCATCAATTCATGAATTGATTACTTTTTATTTAAAAAATAAATGACTTGCTCTATAAAACGTGAAAAAGTAGTACCCAGGTTTGGGTCTGCAGATTGAGTAATAATTTGAATGAATGGTTGTTAAAACACAATACTATCATCCCTTAAGTGGCAGTATTGTGTAAATGGACTATTGATTTTTGAACTTAAAACAAGGCAGTTTTTATTCCACAGTGGCATGAAGATTTTAAAATTAGCCCCACTTTTCATGAAATCTGTGTGTCTACAGTAACTTTCAATGTGTATTTTTTTGACAAGTCAAATATTGACATCATTGTTCTGTGCTTTGTTTTTTGTGAGTGTAATTGCATATTTTCTCCTGTTTTTATCTAGTTCCTTCTCCCCTTTCAAGAGCTGATTGTAATTACTGGGCAAGTGGTTATTCTGTCCAGATTGTGTGGCGCTCTCCAACTGGTGTGTGGACTCTAGTGGAGGTGAACGTGATTGGGGAAACTCACACAGTGCATAATGATGACAACGACGAACAGGAAATCATAATATCGGGATTCCAACCTGCCAAAACATATCAAGTATCTTTAAATGTATTGTCTGGGGACGTAAGGAGTTCTAAACCATTTGTTTTTCAGTGTTCTACTGATCCAAGGGGTGAGTAAAAGTCACTATATTACAATTTTAGTGATTTTTCTGATATAATATTTCAACAATATATTTACACTTTTACCTTAATTAACAGCTGTTTGTCATCAGTTATGTGTCATGTTTTAGCTCTTTGAACTTCTTCTTTTTTTTTTCTTACATTACAAAATTCAAATAACGATTATGTCAAAGTGGTCCATACAGGGACTGTTTCGATATCTATTGTAAGTTAATCCTTGTTTTATTTCCTGCAGGAGTCATTGCAGGGTCAGTAGTTGCTGTGCTGCTTTTTTGTATCCTGGTCTGTGTGGCTCTTTTCATTTATTTTAAAAGACCACATCTTATCAGGTTGGTGCTGCCTCAGTGACAATACTAAAGTTGCATTATCTTGTTGAAATTTACTGTCAGACTAAATCAGTGAAACTTTTGATCATTCCCACAGCAGAAAAAAGTCATTCATTAGTGGATCCAAACTACCTAAAACACAGAGCAAGTAAGTATAAATCTCATGATCTGTTTATGATATTAAGATGTCAGTCGCCCACAATGTCGTAAAAACATTATCTGGATCTTGTAGATTGAGGTATATTTTGGAGAATTAGTTGTATTTACCACTTACAAAATATCCTGTAAGATTGATTATTTTAATACAAAGAGACATGATACCAATTTTTGTTGTTGTTTTTTTTCAGAGGTATTCCAGTAGCACAGTTCCCAGACCACTTCAAAAAATTAAATGCGGATGATAACAGAGGTTTCAGCGAAGAATATGAGGTGCATAAAAACATCTATAATATTTTGTTCTTCCTCTCTGTGTCTTCCTATTTTTGCATCAGACCTTAAAATAGTTTGGTTTTTATTTGTTTTCCATTTTGCCTTCTTCTCAATTGCATGTAATGTTATCTGGCAACTTCCTTGTAGGGCCTCGCTCCTGTTGGCATAAACCAGACACAAAAGACTGCTGAGCTACCGGAGAACAAAGTGAAGAATCGTTTTAAGAATGTGCTGCCATGTAAGTCAGTCTTCTGACCGTGCTGGTAGAACCAATGCAGACTCGAGAAATGAAACAAATCCACTGGCTCTAGTGCTGTCTGCTCTGGTGTATTGCAGTTGAATTCTATTCTGTTTTCTCATCTTAGATGACTGGTGTCGGGTGAAGCTATCTACATCAAATGGGACCTCAGATTACATTAATGCAAATTACATGCCAGTAGGTATTACATCGAAAGAGACGAGCCTTTAATACAGATTTTTCTATTGTAGTGCACTCCTATGTAGGGAACTTACAAAAATGTTGACTCAAACTTAGTAGAAGGAAGTACTAGAATTTTTTTGCTTGCGCAGTCAAGGACATATAAAAGATAAGCATGTGTATTTGATTATTTTATAACTTTATTAACTTCTTGTCAGGGCTACAACAGCAAGAGAGAGTACATAGCCACTCAAGGTCCTCTACCCGCCACCGTCAATGATTTCTGGAGAATGATTTGGGAACAAAGAGTGAAAGGCATTGTCATGGTAACCAACTGCATTGAAAGTGGAAAGGTAAGTCTCAGGAAAATGTGAAAATGTTTTATTGCTAGATTTGAATGGCAGTTTGCTCATTTGGCTACTGTTGTTGTTGAAGTGATACCAATGTAAGATTATTGGTGCCACTCTTTGTTTATGTTTCCTTTTCCTAGGTCAAGTGTGAACAATACTGGCCTGCAGACAGCAAGCCTCGTCTTTACGGAGAGCTGTCGGTCACCATGAGATCCGAACAACAGGAACTTAACTGGGCATTGAGGGAATTTAGTGTGAAACGTGTACGAAATCTTTTTTAGAATCCTTGTGGTATAACTAGTTGACAAAGTAAACCAAAATAACGGAATAACTCAACTATCTGTCAGAGCATAAATCACAATTCATAGAAAAATATTAAATGATTTTTGGGCACATTAAGTATCATTTATTAAGCACTAAATAGGTTCAAGATAGAGAGCAACAGGTCGTAAGTTTCCTCTATATAAATCTTCTTCACAGAGCAACACCTCAGAGGAACGCTCAGTCAAACATTTCCATTTCACTGCCTGGCCTGATCATGGAGTCCCGGAGGGCAGTGAAGTCCTGATCAATTTCAGAAGACTGATGAGACGCCACATAGAGAACGAAGGAACTGGAGCACCGACTGTGGTTCACTGCAGGTACTGAATAAGTTTGCTTTAAATCTAGACATGCAGGGAGGGAATCTATATCATATGTAGTGGGGTCAATATCACCAGAAAGTGCCTTTGAGACATCACGATTGCTCCCCCAAAAAGTTCTAATTTTCCACTCAATTTTATATCCATTGTGTAAAGTTGACCTTAGGCTGTTGTAAATGCACGTTGGTCGAGCTCCCACACTTTTTATGAATTTACTGTAAGCAGATAAAGTATGAGAAAATCGTAAAATAGGTCCACCCTGTCAGGGACAAAGTCAGAAGAGACTGAATACATTTTTATAACACAGTGATTACAAAGAATCTGTGATAGTTGCATTTTCTTTTCTAAATAAAATCTCTGAAAACAGTGATCTGATCTGTCTTTCAAGCAGTATTATTTGGCAGTGATTCGTTTATAAGGAAAATGTAAAAAGGTTTTACTAACTTGTGAAGATAACTTGTTAATTTTCATTAAACAGAAAAGTGATATGGTGGACAGTGACATCACAGGGTGGACAAAAATGTGTCAACTGTTGACATTAGTACATTTACTGACAGCTAACTGAACAAAGGTGAACATTACAAAACAAAATTCTGAACATTCATAAGCTTTTGGCATCACTACTAAAATACCTTCAAAACATTGCTAGAAACAGAATCGACAGAGCTCCCAACAGCAGAACGCTAATGACTGGTCAATCACAAATGAAGCAATGCCCTAAAACACACACTGCTTCTTGTTTAGTTGTACTCAAAACGAAATGAACAATTAGCATCCAGCAAAGACTTGAATTAATGAAATTAGAGGAAAGTCAAGTGATAAGTGAGTGAACTTTCCTCATGGTCTTCTGTCCAGACAGACCAGTTTAGTCACTCCCTTCAGCTTTAATGCATTCACATATTTCCTTGATTGGGTTCCAATCAATCTTCTACATTACTGTAATTGCTCTTCCACATACTTCCAAATAGATGGCTTGATCTGTTGAGAGTGCCTGCTCAGTGTCTGTGGTTCTGGCATCAGGAAGAGTATCTGCCCATCATGGTACCAACTAATGTCCTCCCATGGACCTGTAGACCTGGCCAAAAGAACTTGTTCACACCATTCTGGTGCATACACTTGACTTTGACACTGTGCCCTCCCACATTCATGATAACAACTGGGTATGCTTCGTTTTCATTTCCACCCTGTCATGTGGGGCTTGGTGACAAGGTGGACACTTTTGGCTAAAGTTAGCATCTATGGTGGACCATCAACTTGCAAAGTGATTGATTGTTGAAGTGGATTACATGCTGTTCTTCAAATATATTTTGAGTTTCTGAAAAGTTTTTCTATCAATTATCTTTTAGTCTGACAGAGTGGACATGTTAAGCTTGACATCCTCTAACTACAAGCACAATAAAGTGAAAATTAGGAAATGTAGGTGTAGAAACTCACTGTACTTGCAGCAGTTTTTTCAACCGCCATTGAAGAAAGACAAATTGGGATGGTGATGTCACTGATTAAACCCATTGATTTCTTAAAGGGGCAATCCCCCCATGATGACAGGGTGGACGGCAATTTTAGGGACGTTTACAAAATGTTAAATATAATTATAAAAAAAGAAAAAATAATAATCAAAATGACTTCTTGTACCCATGAACTTGGTAAGAACAATAAGAACATTTTAAAAGTATTTTCATTTTGTGTCATTAATGTCTCATTACACTGCTTGAAGTTAGCAGACCAGCATGTGGGACATAACACAAACAGATACACCCAACCAAGGAAAATGGGATAAAATTAGTGAAAGACACTTTAAGAAATTTGTCCTTATACTGATTTGTGTGTCAGTGTATGGACATTTGTAATAACACCTAACCTTTTCATGATTTTATAGCATGTTAATGATAACTTAGTGATTCTGATGAGGACACCAAAATGTACGTTACAGTGATATTGACCCAGGGGACTTTTATATGAAAACTAGTGAAGGTTAACAAATCCAAAGGTTAAAAGCTGGTGTCCAGAGGGTGGGTCAACATGAATAGCTTAGTGCAGTTATATGTGGTGAGCTAGTAAAGGTCCTTGGGATCAATAAGACACACTTCAGTGACTCTCACAAATACAAATACTGTACATGGCACAAACTAGCTCAGATGACTTGTTGGAAGAAATAACTAGGATCAAGAATGCAGTATTAGTTAGAAGTTAGTTAGAAGACAACAAAAAGACAAACTCAGGAGCTGAGAAGAGAAATACAATTAGCAAAGACATAAAATAGCAATATTTACAAAAGTCTACCATACATGGAAAAGACAGCATTTGAGTATTACATTTATTTATATGTCTGATGTATTTTCTTGGTATGAGACATGTTTGCTAGCAATGTATTTATGTCGACCAGGTCTGATACGCAGTGCTAGTTTTACCAGTGGCATAACAAAGAGAAACCATATGGAAATTTGCTATGACTTTGTAGTATTTGGACATGACTCGTCATATTCACACTGAATCTTACATTTCATACATTTAAACCTTTTCATGGCATGTGTTGATTATTGCGGTCAAAACCAGCCTGCACTAAAGCTGGGCTTGTGCGATGCTGTAAAACATGGTGAATTATGGGATACACTTACCTCTAAATACTACTTCATCACAGTGCATCAAGTACATCAAGTGCAGGTGTTTGTATCCTTCCATCATTGAATACACTCGTCCACTCAGTACTACAAGTGTAGATATTGGGACAGACCCAAGTTTCTAAAGTCAGTATTAGATGATTTTATTTTATTTTATTTTTTTAATGAATTGAAAAACCACACAGACTATCTTATGATGACTTATGTGCTGTGTTGTCTCTCTCTTAGTGCTGGAGTGGGGAGGACAGGCACTATCATTGCCCTGGATGTGCTGCTCCAGGAGTTTGAGAAAGAACGAGCAGTGGGCATCAAAGAGTTTGTTCACAAGATGAGACTGAATCGTCCACACATGGTGCAGACAGAGGTAAGTTATCTCAGGCTGAGATATCACTTCTGTCGTTCGGTAACAATTAGGTTTGTTGTGACACAGCATTTGAACTAAAAGTCAGTCTGCTTGAATATTTGTCAATAGTTGACTTTTTAAAATAGATTAATGTCCTGATTGTTGTTTACAAGTCCCTGTATGAACATGTCAGTTCAGAAATGTTCACAAAAACAGTATAGGACAGTATAAAAACACATGCTGCACTTCTGCTTTTTAGTCTAAACCCAAATCTTGCTTTGAGTCAAGCTATGAACTGCACTGAACCACTGTTTAAGTACACATTTCTATTTGCTGTGTTGCTAAATTAGAGATAGGCAAAGGCTTGGCCCACACTATTGTGAAACTCTGAAGCGTCAAACCCTTACTCGGACAAATCTGCATACAAGCGTCAGTCAAAATACAGTGTGTACACACTGTAAACCCAAGAGTTTTGCATTTCAAATGATCAGCCACTTTTGTTAATTTCTTTTCAGTCGCAGTATGTTTTCCTGCACCAGTGCATCGTGGACTCTCTGCTGCCATATCAGAAGCCTGAAGATAACGTATATGAGAACGTAGACTTGATATATGAAAATGCTACTGCACTCCAACAGTTGCGTTAAAACAAACTAGTATCCATCCTGCACTCAGTCTTATTTGCACTAAATGACAAACTAATTCTGATGTTTAAATGCTATATTTTGTTGTAAATGCAATATCAAAAAAATCACCATCTTAACTATTCACCGTATATGCATAGCACACTTTAGATTTTAATTTAACTTTTACATTTTTGTTCCTCTCTTCTGTGAAATATATACTATGATTATTATTACTGTTTTTGTTATCGTGTGAGGAAACAACATTACAGATGACTAAGGAATGTTTTAAAATTACATTTAATAACAATAAGAAATGTGTATAGAAAACGATAACTTGTACAAGAAATAAAATATGTTCACAAAAATACATGAATGTGCTTTTAACAAGTCAAAAACCAAGTCGTGGCGAACTGCACAGACCACAACAGCAACTTCCTTCACACTCAGAGTATCAGCTGGGTTTTGCTTCCAGTTTTTGCTCTTAAGTGTGTCATCATGCTGATGATCCTCTTTGCTTGCTGCTTAAAGCAGGTCAACACAGCACTTTGCTCACGCATCCTCCTCTGTGGTGTTGCTGCTCTTTGTGTCCTGACTACTGGAAACAACAGAGAAGTAATCATCGATAACTTGCTGTCTGGCTTTGAGGGCCTCAGCGTTGATCTCTGTCGGCACCGAAGGCTGCTTGCCCGCATGCAGGGGCTCGATTTTACCAGCTGGGGGTGGAGGACGGACAGAGAACTTTTTGGCGATGTTGTGCAGCACACTGCATGCCTTGATAATGTTTGACTTTTGATTTAAAGAGCCTTCTTGTGCAAAACCAAGTTGCATCAGACACTTGAAGCGCCTCTTCATGGAGCCAAGCGTTGACCGCATGACACTGTAGATCTTGGCGTGGGCCTCATTGAAGCGGACCTCGTTGTCATTTGCAGGTTCCGACACAGGAGTCAAGACATGTTTGGTTAAGTGGTAGCCGGTCCCACCTTTAAAAGAGAAACAAAGCATTAGAATGTCAGCCTGCTATGTAATATCTTTAAATACTAGAGATGAATGTAATGATAAAGTTTGGATTGTTGATGCTGCAAACTGGTCTTGCAGTCTGCCAGAAACTGAACACGGAAGTTGTGAAACTTTGGTGTTTCATTGAGTAGAGGATGAAGCGGTTTCAGAGCTCAACCCTTCCCCTAAAGCACATGTGCATCCTTGATGTGTGCAGATATTTATACATTGGGCAGGAAATACACTCCACCAGCAACAATGAACGTTAAAACAGAGGCTGCTGTATATCTGTGCTGCATAATATGCTGTGATGTGATAATGTTCAGAATATGAATCCATTCTTGAAGTCGTGAGCAGCATTTTGAGTAGAAAACCAAAGGAGTGTGAAGATTCCTGGTAACTGAGCAAAGTCGGCCTGCTCAGTCGACTGTGTCACGTTTGAAATGTGTACAAAGTTAGTGAGCAGCCCTTCGATTCAGATTTCTTTGTTAAAATGTGGGTATTATCTGGTTGTAACACACTGCTGTTGGTGGCATTGAGTCATAAGAGTTACAGATGTGTTGCGCAATAAGGTCATGCTTGTGTCTACTGTAACTCAGAGAGGACACTGACACCAAACCGCAGGTCGCGTCTTTATGATCACATGTCTCCGTCCCATTCACCTCCCTGTGCATCCTCTTCACATCTTACCAATGAGCCAGAAGGCTCCGTGCAGCTCCTCCTCCATCTCTCTTCCCTTGAACGACGAGTCCCACATCTCCTGCTCACACGTGCTGCCCACGCAGCATTTCTCAACGCTCAGTATGTTTCCATCGGAGTCACATATGACCTGACTGACGACTGACGTGTAACCCTGAGTGTTCACAAACGACCTGAACGTGTCCTTCTCGTACGGAGAAGCTCTGATCTTGAAGTGCGCCGGAGCCAGGACTCCCAGCACTCTGGGGATCCCGCACAGCTTCTCGGTCTTCGCTGCGAGGTTGACTCTGGCGTCCCTGGTCAGCGGGAACGAGATGAACTGGTCGGACATCCCGGCTATGACTCCGGAGATTGCGCCGACGACGGAGGCGGGACCGTCGCTCTGAGTCAGCCCGACTTTCTGCAGGACGGCGGCGGTGGAGACTCCGTGCGCGTAATAGTCCAGCGCCACCATGACCATCGCGTCCACGGACACGAGCGGCTTCTTCGGAGCCACGGTCCTCATGCGGATGCGGACGGCGTCGGCGACGAAGGCGATGCAGGGTTTCGTGAGGTGGAACGTCTGGAACAAAGCTTCCTCGTCGAAACTGTCGAAACAGCTCAGGGCACCAGAGTCTTCCTCTCCGGGTCCGAGCAGCTCGTCCTGCACCGCCAGCCACACCGGCACAGGGAAGGCCATGGTTCGCTACCGCACAGCGTTTAGACACATGACAGAAGGACCAACAAAACCTGCTGGAGGACGCACAAAAATTAGCCAAACAGCTCAAACCGTTTGCTCTTCTTCTCGCGCTGTGACAAACTAAACGCCGCAGTGGCGCATTGCTGCCCCCTGCTGGTTGTGTGTTGCTCCTACTGGACAAATAAAAAGTGCAGAAGCAAGTATCCTGGATGCACAATCAGAGCTGTTATCACCACGCAGAGGACAGAAAAAAATACTAATCATTTTTTCAATGAAAAAAAGAAACTTGTAAATTATTTCAGTTAAGCAAACTCATGAAGACACTGGCAGTATTTGCTGCCCAGTTAACTGGAGGTTTTCCCTTTTTATTGCTTATTAACATTCAACACACTCTGTTTAATCCTCTTACATACATTTATTCATACCCTCCCATTAAAGAAGGAAAAAAAACTGCTGTCACTGAAATAAGTTGAAATTGACAAAAGTAATAATAAATGAAAATGTAATGAAAATCATGACATTGCTTTTGAATTGTGGTTCAACAGAAATATTAAAAAAAAAGACAAAAACAAAAAAAACAAGCAAACAAGCACAATGGGACCCATAAACTAATACTTGGTTGAACAACCCTTTGAGCCAATTACTGCATCAAGTGTTTTCTGTAACTCTCAGTCAGACTTCTGCACCTGGTGACAGGTATGTTGATTTTGGTCCACTGCTCATCAGCAAAGTGCTCTAATTTGTACGGGATAAATATATATTTTTTGAAATAATTATTTTCAACCTTAATTGAAAGGCAATGTCTAATTTCACTAAATTATAATTTAGCAAATTTTTTATTTATTACTACTTTTTTCAGTTTTCAGTTATTTGGGTGACTATTGTGAGTTTTGCCATTTATTTAATGGAAGGGTGTGAATACATTTGAGGACGACTGTAGGTGTCTGGGTGTCCTCTTTCTTTCACGGTCACTCACTTTTGCAGGACAGCCAGCTCAAGGCAGATTTTCAAAAGCCTGTATTCCTTAATAATGGAATCAACTGCACTCTAAGGGATATGCAGTGACTTGGAAATGTTCTTGTACCCATCCCCTGATGTATGTGTTTCTATAACCTTACAGAGATGCTTGGAGACTTTACACTTTACTCTATACAGCTGTAGAAGAGCTGGGGTTATAGAAGCGAGTGAGGAGAACATTTCTGAGTTTATCAGTCTGATAGTCTGGGGGAGAACCCTGTTTCAGAACCTGGTGGTTTTGCACTGAATGCTGTGGAACCTTATGGTGTAGTTAGATCCAGGAGTACTGATTCACCACAGGAACTTACAGACACGAGCGTCTTTTTACTACAATCAACTTAAGACACATTCACTGCACTCACATGATCTCCATTTCAGTAACAACTAGCACCAGGCTGCACCTGTGCTGAATTAGGTGTCTCTTCACAACGACACCCTCCCGTTTCACCGACTTCTACTTTCCTCCTTGTTTTTTGTTTAGTCATTTTTCTCCACAAGCCGGGAACACGTGCTGATTTCCCGTCTCTATAAAAACAGTTAGACATTCTTCAAGTGATGCCAAACTCAAAACTTTATCAGCAAAAAGTCTGTTACACAATTTCTAAAATGCTATCTGTCTAAGATAAAGGTTTTTAGGATTATAGTAGATATGATACTATAACAAATTAAATATAGTCATCTTTGTACCTGGTATCTTAATTGTAAGCGTCTTGTGCTCTACTTGTGACTTACACAATCATTTTGACAGTTATACTGCTTCACTTTACAATTATTGTCTAGTGAAACTTTAACCTTGTCGGGAATAATCGAGACATTTCCGGCAAAATTAAATTTACTCCTTCACAGACGTGGACCCTGAGGTCAGAATCCCTCCCTTATAACTCCATTATTTCTATTGAGTATAATATATATATATATGTGTTTGTGTGTGTTTGCACAAAATAATGTATATATATATATAAATTGTATCATTTATTGTGTAGAATCAAATACTCTCTTGTTCATCCAGTGTACAAGTTATCATGAGAATCACATCCTGATGTTGTCATATCACATTCAGCACGTACTCTTAACACGCAGCACATCTGTTGGCCCAATATAGTATAATATACACGGAAAGCATTCAAACAAAATAATCAGTTCAGTAGATTCACAATATGTTCTTCCCATGTTGTGACCTTTTTTGAAAAATAAATAAAGCACAATGCATCTTTTCTAAACAAATAATAAACACGATAAATCCTCCAGCAGCTTCACTCCTCTTCTTCCTACAGCAAAATCAGTTTGTGTTTGCTCCACTTTCAGGTGATAAATAGAACATTTTGTTGACTTCGCTGATGGAAACGTCCTTCAGTCGAGGTATTCCCCCCTTACGGGTGCATTCTGTCCTCTGGCCTTGTGCATATACATCTGTAACAGAAGGGAGACGATGCATAACGTAAATGTTGGGATCAGAAAGTTTGGAACCACATCACGTCAAGACAGATGATACCACAGAAGAACTGCCATATATATATATAATAAGATTATAATATACAGCAAAGTATATATCGAGCTTTTAAACAGCTTTCCCTTGTTTATTCCCCTTTAGCACATTCTTAGATAATCACAATATTTAATTTTCTTACTTTTAAAAAATGTCCCTGAAGCACTAAAGACTGTACAGCGGTAGTTGGTGTGGCGGTAACATGATACGTATCATTGTGGTAGAGTTGTACTTTTACCTAACCAGTAGGGTTGAACGATTTAGGAAAAACATTGGATTGTAATTCTTCTGAGAGATATTGCAATTTTTTTAAAAAAAGCCCTGCTTCAGTTCAATGTTTATTGTGTGACAGATTTAAAACATTTCATGGAGCATTACCACATGAGATGTCCTTAAAAGTGTGACCGTCCCGGAAGGAGGACGGTGTAAATTTGTAAAACCATAAACATGACAGTAAAAATTGTGGGTTGGACCTGCTGCAAATTTCAATAACGTGACAGCGTTTATAGTAGAGCCCCAGAGTGCAGCCTGAACAACTTACTATTTATTGATTGATTGGAAAGCGTAAACAACGACTGAAAGTTTCCATCTGCTCAGATTAAATAAAGTACAAAGAATTACAACCTAATTATTCAATTAGCCACGGCCTGACTAATGTAGAGGCAGTGAAGGATCTGTGTTTTAACACTCAGGGTAGAAGTAATGTTCCCTGTAGTGGTGATGTAAGTAATGAAAAACCTGCAGGTCGGTGTCAAGGTCAGAAGAAGACTTAGAAAAAACTGACAATAAGCTGAGTCATGATACCAGGAGAATTTTCCCTAAGACATGTCCCAGCTGGGGCTGCAAAGTGGCTCAGTGGGTAGCACTGTTGCCTCGCAGCAAGAAGGTCACCAGTTCGCGTCCCAGTGAGCACACCCGGGATCTCTCTGCGTGGAGTTTACATGTTCTCCCCGTACAGCGTGGGTTCTCTCTGAGTTCTCTGGCTTCCTCACACAAGGTCCAAAACCATGTTGAGGTTAATTGGTGATTCTAAATTGTCCGTATTGCTGCCTTTTGACAAATTAAACCTTTTAGCACCAGACTCTGACTCAAGAAGACTTTCTGCTCATTTTTCTGGTCGACCTTTGGCAGAATTTTCTCCACTTCGTTAACCGGTTGGCACATGTTCCTACCTGTGATGTTGTCCACAGAGTGGAGTGGGGCTGTGTTGCTGAAGTTCACTCCGAGCAGCAGCAGCAACGAGATCGTTAAAGCCACCAGCAGGTAGATCGGCACTGCAAGAGCCCAATACCTGCACAGGATAAAAGGTTCGAGTTAAATGATCATAAAACTGTTATGTAGGACCAGTGTTTCCAGCAGCGGGACCAGCAGGCTCTCCAGGAGCCGTAGAGGCATAAACAAATGACATTTAACTGCAGATTTTACTTTTACAACCTATTAATTGAATTTTTAAAGGCTGAATGTAAATTTAAAAAATCTAATCTAATCTAATTAAAAAAATAAAAATAAAAACAATACAGTGTTTCCTCTACATTCATTTAGGAGCGGCGGGCCGCCATTCCTACGTCCCAGCCGCCGCTTCTTCAAATATCTTTTTTTATTTTAATTTTTTTTTATTTCTTATTGTTGCAGACACACCACCGCCGCATGTCTCCACCTTCACAGCAGAGTCCTGCACTGGGTCGGTGCTCAGGAGTATGAAGGTAAACTACAGAAAAATATCTTGCCCAGTATCTACTCTTTGGGGGGTTAATACGACCTTAATTAGAATAGAATAGAATAGAATAGAATAGACTTTATTTATGCCAGACCTGGGAAATTATTCTAAACAGCAGCATCCAAAAACACAGAAAGAAGTACAAAAAATAACAATAATGAAGTAATATGCA